TAGGAACACCTAAGATACTGCACAGAACCCTCAAACTCCCAGGCCTCTGGTAGAGGACCCGAGACTGAGGAAGACACATACCACCTAGGGGTGAGAGGGGAATTTTATTTATATATGTGTATGTGTGTGTGTGTGTCAATGAGAGGACCGTGACCACTTACATTCCATTGATTTTCATAAGACCAAAATATAATTGAGCAATATAAATCCAATATTATGATAGTAACTAGATGGTCAATATTATGCCTATCTGAACTAAAATACCCAGTATCATGAACTTCAGCTTAGTAGTATGAGTTAGGAAATCTATGAGGAAATATAGAACACTTGCTTTTTGCATGTATAATTTGTGGTGCTTCTTGTATCATGTTGATATTAGTATTGGAATGAATCTTGGATAACGTGCTATTTTCTAGAATTCTGCTCCTGAGAAAGACCATTTATATGGCCACCCATCTCACAAGTGACTCTAGGTGGTATACAACAACTAATAAAACATTAAAAATATTATATTATATATAAAAATGTACACAATTATGTTTAATTGAAATACCTATTTACAATTAAGAACCTCTGTGTCCTAAAGTATCTCGTCTCTATACAAATAGATTGAAAGTTAATACATAAACTGAACATTGTACAACTCAACAAGAGATTTCAGGTAGTCCTTGACTTACAATAACAGGGACTGGAAAATTTGTCATTAAGCAAGGCATCATGTGACCACACCTGATTTTACATTTTTTGCAGTGGTCGTTAACCAGATCATTGTGGTCGTTAAGTGAACCATGCAGTTCCCCATTGTTTTTGCTTGTCGGAAGCCAGCTGGGAAGATCGCAAATGGCGATCACATGACCCTGGGACGCTGCAACCATTGTAATACATGCCGGTTGCCAAGCCCCCAAATTTTGATCACGTGACCGCGGGGATGCTGCAACGGTCATAAGTGTGAGGACCAGTCGTAAGTCACTTTTTCAGTGCTGTCGTAACTTTGAACGATCGCTAAACAAATGATTGTAAGTCGAGGACTACCTGTATAAGTTTTCTCTTACCTTTGAAAGCCAATTGCTGTAGAGAATGGGTCTGCACATAGCTTTCTCTTTGTCTATATTGGGGAAGTGTTTCAGAGCCACCATATCAATGTTTTCATCAGTCCATCGTCTCTCCTCATCTTCCACAAGCCTAGATAAACACAGTAGATTCAGAGAGTGAGCAGACAGGGCTTGTCCAGGATAAAAGCAGGGAAATAACAGCACTGTGGAGCTCTGAGAAAAAGGAAGAAGGCTGGAGACAACCACCACAATAGTCTGCTCAGCAAATGCCTTGCAGAAAAGATTCTAGAAAGATTTTTTTAAAGTGTTTTATTTACAACTGCTTTTGGGGATTGTAACCAGAAACAGTGGAATATAAATAATTGAAATAAATAATTTTTAAAAACTGAAGGAAAGATCTTAAGAACACTTCCTTCCTGGGCAGTTCTTGGGAGATCTACATCTAAATGCCTACAATTTAAAGAAAACAGGGAATTCTTTTAAACAGAAGTCTAGTACAGAATATCTATTTGTTACAACCTGAATAAATAAGAGTCTTATGGAACCTTAATGTTTCCATACTCTAATATTGACAAATCTAATAAAAGCAAGCATACAACCTTGTATCTCCAAGAAGAGGAAATTTATCCTATCTCAGAGATTTAAAGGAAGGACGGTCTGTATGTTCAAACTTTACCTGTCCTGGAAGAGACGCAAGGCTTCATGTGCCCAAATTCTAATGAGTCCTTCAACAGGCAATGTTTCCAGAGGTCTCAGAGCTTCAAAGATACCTCGCACCCATCGAGTCATTTCACGGGGTGAATAGATATAGTGTGGCTGTGTATCTTGAGTAAACCTTTCCTGTATGGAAAAATATAGATGATGAGTAACTAGCAATTTTTTTCCAACGTCTTAATCATTTCATTAAAAGCTGTGAAAAACTTTCAGCCTAGTTACCTGTGACATTGTGTAGAACTCAACCATTGCAGCAGTGAGTGGTTCTGCATATGTGCGGAGAGATGGAATAAGTCTCAACATAGCACGATTGAAAGTGCCATAAATTTGAGTGAGTGAAGCTGGCCCAGGGTAGTCCACATATACAACAGGAACATGGCGCAAGAATCTGAAAAAAATATGCAAGGGATTAATTCTAGATAAGTTATCTAACAATATTTTATTAGACTAGAGAGTCAGTCTGGGGTAGTGGTTAAGGCATCAGACTAGAAACCAAGAGACTGAGTTCTAGGCCTCCCTTAGGCACAAGGCCAGCTGGGTGACCTTGGGCCAGTCAGTCTCTCTCTCTCAGTCCTAGAAAGGAGGCAATGGCAAACTGGCTCTGAAATCTTGCCAAGAAAACTGCAAGGACTTGTCCAGGCAGTCTCCAGGAGTCAAGACTGACTCGAAGGCACCAAAAAAAAAAAAAAATTAGACTGACTACATAGGCTCTAAGAATTGACAAGTACATTCCACAATAAATTGTTTCTTTGGTAATTCCCACTATAAAACAACTCACAGAAGGTCCTGAGAATTATGCATAATTATACAGGATGACATATTCCCTTATTAATTTATCTTCACTAATAGACTTTCTTATGAAAGTATCATTCCAGAGTCCAAATCACAGGAATGCAATATTATATTGCACCAATAGCGCACAGATATTGTAATACTACATAGAGAACTAAAAACTTGGCTCTGGGAGAGAACATTTGGAGGATGTTAGATTTGGTACTGACCCCCTACTGTTTAGTGCCATTATAACGTATATTGTTTAAAATTGTTATGATTCATACAAACTCCATTAAAAGAAGTTGGCATGAACATGCATGTTGTATTACAGGCATATTACCTATGTGAAAGAGGTTTTCTTCCAGGATCTGTAGGTGGATTGCATGCACCAACAAACTGAATTCGTTCCAATTTCACCCAGGTCTGGTCTGATGTACGGTAGAAACCTCCATGCTCTACCATCTGATAAAGTTAAAATCTTGGTTAGGAAACAGATGGACATACCACACTGTTCCCTTTTGGGATACACAACTTTATATACAAAGTACATAACGTAGAAAAAGTAGAAAAAAATTGGAGGCAAGAGGTAAAAGAATATCTTACTAAATCCAGTTTATACCTTCTCTTCATACTTTTCTATTTTTGCTTCTACCTCATCTGTACATTAATATATTGCCTTTTGTTTTGCAATTTAATCCTGATTCACAAAAAATGTAATTTCTTCACTCATTTATACTTGCCTGTCTAATAAAGGATATGACCCTCTGTGTACCATATTTATCCATATCCGGCAAGTTGATTTCATCACAGAAGAGTACCAGCCATTTTCCCAGCTGAACTGGAGCTAACACCACACCATTAGGTGTACGCCTGTACTCACAATAGTGATCAAATGTTTTCAGGAGTAGTTCTGGAGTGGTAGCACTGGAGAAATTCAAGCCAACCACCTAAAAAGGCAAAAACAATTTGAGAAGAGGAAGCAAAAACAAGAACCAATATATCCTTCACCCACATAACATTTTAAAGAACTGTGCAATCTGTTCTTGATGGTTGACTATTCCAAAATAAATACTTTGAGCTGTGTATATGCATTAAAAGTCTGGTTCTTGAAGAATGGATTCCAGTACTGGTTTTATATATAACAAGGCCAAATGAATTCATACTGTTGCAGATTCTGTATGGACTATTATAATGTCCTTTGAAGATGACTTGGCTATTATAATTATAACCTAGTAGTTATACTGTGTTAACTAAGCATGTAGAACTGGTCTTAACAGTCTTGAATCAGCAGTTTTAGCTCCTTTGCTTTTTCTGATTCTAATTCAGGGTGCTGGTTTTACTTTAAAACCTTAATTGACTAATGACCAGTATACCTCAAAGTCTGTCCGCTATTACAAGAACTGGCCTTGTTACTAAGATGGTTAAAAGCACCCAGTTTTCTGGAATGAAGTGAGTGGAGCCCTGGAATAAGCTCTCAATTGTTATGGAAGTAGTATTTTGTGGTTAATGAACTATTCTGCTGTTCTGCTAGAGGATATTTTAATGGCTACCCACTAAAATATTTTCATTCAGAATGGGGAATACCTCCATGTCAGGCAAGGCCCTGAGTGCACTAAAGAGAGTCATGGTCTTTCCAGATCCTGGTGGGCCACAGAGTACCAGTGGTTTGTGCTCTGCAAGCCAAGTATACAGCAAAGCTTCATGGCGAACAGTGTCAAGCGTTGGCACAACAACATCAGGAGCTGCAACTTTGTGAGTCTCAACTTCAATTTGTGGGACCTTTGACTGCCAAGGCACCCATTCACCAGTGATGGAGACCTACACAAAGAAAAAAGAACTTGCTACTTTCTGCTTTTGTTGCAGTTGAAGGAAGCTACTTTTAAACACTTACTTTGATTTAACTCTAACTGGAAATTTTAATTGTCCAAAAATTAAGAAATATCACCAATAAATGGTCAACAAATTGAAAATCTTTTTAAAAATAATTTAAGTACAATTAATCCATATAAGCTGCACTTGGACAACTGCCAGTTCTGAAGAGGCATTATTTTCTGCCTAGAGAACAGTGCATGTCTTTAAAATGCCCACAAAATGCCCAACAAAATATATTTTTCATTAGAATTATTACCTGTTCTCACATACCACTTTGTAGCACTTTAAAAAGCAACAAATCCAGAAAGTTCATATGATAAAGCAAATGTTTTTGATACTCTAAGTATCAAAACTTAATTTAATTAAATGTGTGATCCCAAAGATAGAGTGTACATACTAAATTAAATAACAAGTATCTTATACATTGTTGCTAGGCCTTTGGAATTACTTGTAATATGGTAGAGGTAGTCCTCAACTTATGATGGCAATTGGGACTGGAATTTCTGTCACTAAGCAATGCGGTTGTAAAGCGTGACCGCATCACTTAGCAATGGCAATCTCTGCAGTCCTGGTTGGTATTGTTAACCGACTCCCATAGTCGTTAGGTGAGGCAACTTCCTGTCAGCTTCTCACAACCAATGTCAGTGGGGAAGCTGGCAGGAAGTTGCAAGTCCCAGGCTGGCAGGGGGAGGGAGCGAGGGGTTGCACGGGGGAGAGTCAGGGAGAGTGCATGAGGATGTGAGGGTGTGTGCAAGAGGTGCAGGTCATAGAGGGTGAGCGAGGGTGTGGGGGAGGGGGAGGGAAGGTGAAAGGGAGGGTGTGTGAGAGGCGCAGGTTGGGGAGGGTATGTGAGAATGTGGCATGGGTTGGATGCACAGGGGGCATGGTGAGGGTCAGGGAGGGTTGGGAGGGTGCAAAGGAGGTGTGGCAAGGGTCAGGGAGGGCACATGACGGTGTGAGGGAGATATGGTGAGACTTGGGGAGGGTGTGCAGGAGTGCATGAGTAGCTGGCATGGCATGAGTGCAGAGGGACTGGGAGAGGGTGCACGGGTGGGGGAGACTTACCCCAGCAACTTGCAACCTTCCTTGCTGGCTTCCCCATTGACTTTCTGGAAGCTGGCAGGGAAGGTTGCAAATGGTGATCACGTGATCACAGGGTGCTGCAACCAATCATAAGTGCAAACCAGTTGCCATGTGGCCAGATCGTGAACATGTGACCACTTGGGTGCTGGGACAGCTGGAATTCCAAGGAGTGGTCATAATCACCATTTGTTCAGCACCGTTGTAACTTTGAACAATAGCTGAATGGTGATAGGTTGAAGACTATCTGTATTTGATTTGTGGTACTGATTACATTTGTGCAAGTATTATAATCAGAACAGTAGTCACAATAAGGTTGCTGTTAACAAAAAAGTAACCAAAAGATACAATTGTCTTTACCTCATAATCGATTATGGGTATATTTGGTGCACTAGGCAGTGGCACTGTAGTAATTCTTCTGATATATTCACCTAGCTCTGCTCTCATTTTCAGACGGCTGTCTCCAGAGAACGACCACAGGATTGCATACACTAGGTATCTCTGAAATGTTAATGAATCATCAGTATAAATGTGAGGAAAAAGTACTGTTCTTAAGAAACACATGGAAACCAATAGCAAGTCTGGCAACTTCATTGCCTCAGGATTAGAGTTCTTTTGGTGGGTGGGTGGGGTGGGGAACAAGAATTACCTGGATGTAGCGTTCTAGTTGATCTATTTGCATTGGAAAGTCTGGATGGTTGGCATTATACTGTGCTACATTGCGGCATGCTTGGTGAAGCATGGAGAAGAGAGAACCAAGACAGCGTAATCGGGTGAGGTCCATAATGTGCTCCAGTTTAAAAGCATGTTCAAGTGCCTTTGTCACCAGTCCATTAGATGTGAAATATGGCTGCATAATTGTTGCTGCATCTCTTTGAATCTGTTGATGAACCATTTCAGTAACATTATATTTCTTATTACCATACCAGAAAACAGAGCTAAACAATTACTAATTTGTCTAGGGAAGAAAGGGAAATCTAGACCCTTAAGTTTACCTGCAACATTGGAGATGCTGTTTCTTCACTTTCATCTTCTTTTCCTTTTCTCCTGCGCTGAGCTTCTTCTTCACCTTCATCGAGGGGGATACTTCTCAGCCGGGCCAAGAAATTACTGAAAATCATGTCAGTACTTAAAACATCTTCACTGAACCAAACCATGCCACATCGTGACACTGTGGCTAGAGTGGCATATTTCAAATCTTGAACTTCAAACATGATGCGCACCTATGGGAAAAGCAAAAAGGTGGTTTCTGAAAATAATTATACCAGAATTCTTTCCAAGTATCTGTTCAACACATCCTTCTTCAACTACCCTCTCCTCCTTTTGAGCTGTTTTTTTGAGTTTAGGGTAAGTAAAGAGCAAGGAATCAGAGAAAGAATATCCTGTCTTGAAACTGGCATGGGCAGCTGAAGGCTATTGCTGCAAACTCAGTGGAAGAAGAGCTTTGTTTCAAGGTGCTAAGAAGCCAAATTGCATTTACAGTACTCCAGACTCTCAGCTCTGTGCTAGAAGTACTGCAGACATTCTGAATGCACATTCCCTCATCCCAGACACAGAATCTAAGTCTTCACAAGGAACAGATGTATGCTAGGTATTACCTGAGCCCCTCCCTTTTTTCTAGGTAGGAAACAGTGGGATTTAACATCTCCCCACAGCCTCAGAATTAACTGGTTGAAATTTCCAGGGAAATCCAGGTAAAGGAGAAGCAAGAGGAATGCCTCTTTCAAGAGCCTTATTTATTTCTGTAGAAATAGGTAAGTGCTTAGGTGGGAATTTGTGATTAGACCTTTTATTGATTTTGAGATGCATGTGCTAATTAAATATTTGTAATCACTGGTGTCATGTCTCTATATAAATTGGGGAATAGTGTAGAATTCCCACATTTATCATATTACTTGAACTGTATTCATAAATCTAGCTTTACAGACTTTAAGTCATCATTTTCGCTTGTTAAGTTATAGTTGAACAGTAAAAAAAGCAAATTGCAGAAGACCAGCAGCATCTTATGGTTTGAGTGGTTCATTAGATTCCATTTCTCGTTTGTCTTTTTAAAAAGTTATCAGTGTTGCTTCCCTATGAGTTCAGCAGCTCTGGAAGTTACCTTTTTTAAAAACTTAAGCATTTGCATTTTGATATTTGAAATTTAAAAAGGCTTTAACCTTTGATTTTTTCTAAGCGGAATACATCAGCATGCTGTTCTACAAGGACTGAGTCAATATTCTGATATTGTGTTGTCCAAATATAGTTACATTAAATCACATGGAAATACCATCTCTAATATGAATTTACTGTAGTTTGGCTTACATTCGGTGGAAGGCTCAGACGTTCTCCATTTGGTAATGTCAGCAACTTATTGTCATCCAGAACGGAGTTCAAATTTTCAACCCACTCGGGATCAACATCTCCATCAAAGATAATCCACTGTCGTTTTTGCAGTTCCCCTCTCACATTATCTATAATTCTAAGTAAAATGATGATAATGTAGTACAAGTTAGGAAAACATTGAATCAGCTTAAACCGCTTCCTTATTTGGGAATCTTTCTATTCACGTTTACCACATCTTATTTATTTGACACACTTACTTTCTTAAGACATGGGTAAACAACCCGTCTGTCCACTCTCTGGTGTTGGGATCTAAAGTACCATAAAGATGGTCTTTGCTGATAGCTTTGGGATCAATTATATGTGCAACACCTTCCACACCCTCTAGTCTCTCCAGAGCTTTCAACAGCACTCTCCAAGCCATGCTCTTTCCACTCCCAGAAGGACCGACCATCATCAAACCATGGTTGATCTGGGTAATTTGATAGAGCTGAAGAACCTGTGAAAAAAGGGGTAGAATAAGGGAAGATCTTTAATCTAGAATGACAAGAGTTACAGTAATCTTGTTTAGACTTCTAGAGGACTGTTTGCAGCCAAATCTCATAGGATTTTATGTTATGATGTCAGCTGACAAGCCGTACCTTTTCCACCCACATACTACCAATATCTTCTCCATCACCATATGTGAGGTACATTTCCTGACAGACTTTCTTAAGTTCCTCCCTCAGTGCAGTCATTTCTCCTCGGTGATACTGAATGCCAGGGAACACATCTGACAAGAGACTGAAAAGCAATGGTATGTCTTCTGCAACCAGTTTTGGTACCATAGTTTCACAAACACTCTGGATCAGAATCTACATGGGAAAAAGATTTATTAGACAAACTAAGAAGCAAAGTAGTTATTTAATAGTGCAGGGTTCAAAGACTGAATATAGTAAAGTTATCTATATTTTTATTGTCAACTGGACATTATGCCTTAGGAGTAACTTGGATGTTTCCCTTGAATTTTAAGATATCTTGAGATACTGCCAAACACTGTTTGTGTGGTGGTTTGTCCAGAAGCATTTTTGTTTAAACAAATTACTGCGACTATTACTAGCTGATTAACACAACATTTACAGCAGTACAGAGCATTACGAACACAAATAGTAGTGTACACAAAGAACAGGTGAAAACAATATTCAAAATGGCTTCTTTTGATCATTTTGGAAATGTTCAAATGCCAGCTGTTTAGCATTGAAGTGTTTGAAACTCAAAACCACGCCTGAAACATTTCAAACACATAAGTTGTTCTGCACTTCAATCTGCGTGTTTTGAATTCAAAATGATTTGACCCTGAAATGTGATGCACACTTGTACTGAAAACCAATTGCATTAAAAAAAAATCCAAATTAAATTCAAGATCCTTATATGTATCTGCATTCAAGGATCTGTCTATATAATTGCAGACTGCGTTAACTACTCCACATAAAATACATGCCATACCTCCTGTTCTGGTAAATTCTCAGCAATTTCTCCTTCATCAACAACTTCACCACGCTCTTCCTTCTCTCGCTTTATTCTCTGAATTCTTTCTCTTTTCACATTGCCCGCACTGACCAGCACACTTTTCAAAGCTCTCAAGCCGAAATCATAATGGCTTTGAGAGGAGAGCTGCTCATCACACAGTCTAAGGATATAAATATGTCACTCTCACAAAAATGTTTAAATAAAAAAAGCATGCTAAAGTTGACTTTAGAGATGGACATTGTTTATTATCACGCTCTAGAGTTACTTCAGAACATATTGGCTGTTTTACTAAATAGTTTGGATACTTTCATTTGTGCCTAGAAAATACATAGCCCTGTAGATGGTTTATTTCTTAGCAGTTTTGCACTACTTCATGTTATATGATCCACATATAATAAAATAATAACACTACACTAATACCAGCACCTGAATTAACATAGTCATCCAAGAATAAATCATTCTACATGCCTCTATTAGCAATGATACTTACTTAAAGAAGGGGACAATCTTGTTGGCAAGCACTTCAGCTGTCCGAAATCCTTGGGAATACAACATGACCTGAGCAATCAGTTGACGGTCAGGCTTTGTCATGGCCAAACTACGGAACAGTTTCTTCAAGTTGTCTGGAAGATTTGATCGACCCGCATAGCCAGGGTTCATTGTGATGAAGATTGCCATATCTGGACTCACTTTCACTTGTTTGTTTAGCAATTCACAGGTAATAGGGGCGGCAGCTGAAAGCAAGAATCTGTCATTTAAGTATACTTCTCACCTCTTCACCTTTCAAACACTGACAGAAAAGGAAGCCAGCAAGGCTGGGGAAGACTACTGGTATGTGTGTGCGTGTATGTATGTATGTATGCATGCATATATGTATGTATATATTTTATTTTATTTTATTTTCAGAACTTATATGGCTGCCTATCTCCTATAATGACTCTAGGTGGCTCACAACAATCCATAAAACATAGTTAAAAACATACCCTTCCCCCATGCATCAGACCAAACATCCTCACAGCTCAACCCCCCCCCTCCCCATTCTAGCCCAATGGTTGGGGGAAGATTCAGGTCTTCACAGTCCTCCGGAAGGCTAAAAGGATAGGGATCCCTTTGATCTTTGGTGGGAGGCTGTTCCAAAGGACTGGGGCAGCCACCAAGAAGGCATGCCTCCAAGGTCCCATCAAGTGACAACATTTAAGGGAGGGGACCTGGAGTGTACCCACCCTATTTAACCTAGTAGGACAGGCATATACCCTCAGGGAGAAGTGGTCCCACAAGTAACCTGGCTCTGTGCCATGTAGGGCTTTAAAGGTGATAACCAGCACCTTGAATTGCACCAGAAAGCAACAGGAAGCCAGTGCAGCTCATGCAGCAGCGGTGATAGTCGGGTGAACTGTGGGACATACAAAACTGTGCCTACTGCTGCTTCTGGACCAGCTGCAGCTTCCAGATGGTCTTCAAGGATAGCCCCACGTAGAGTGCATTGCAGTAATCGAAATGGGAGGTGACTAAGGCATGGGTGACTGTGAGCAAGGTATACCCTTAGAAAGACACTGCTATAGTAAATATAAGAGGGCCAACTAACGAATTTGATGTATATGAGGTACATGCTTGTTTAAATACCCTAGTCCAATTTTTTTACCATTTTAAGAGGAAAAAACCCCATCAGTTTGTTTTCTGGCTATCTCTATAATAACTTGGTGATCTTTCCACAAGTCTATTTGGAAAGCTGAATGGTTTCATGTGATGCATAGCAGTTGTTTGGAAACCTGGAATCTTGTTTTCTGCCTCTATACTTCTATGTATGGTCCACCCTAGGCTGCTTGTGGATCTGAATGGTTTCCAGAGTACACTTCCCCTTAGAAAGTGGGGAAGAACGTTGTGGGGAAGAATGTTGTGGCTTTTTCTTTTTCATTTCCTATGATTTTTTTTGTCTTTTGTTTCTTTTTCCCTAGATAGTCTAATAGAGTTTTCTTCCCTTTCTTTTTTCTCTCCCTATGTAGCACTTTTTATTGAATAAATTAGGTTTCTTTTTTAAAGTACATACCCTTTTCCACAAAAGTTTTATAAATACATAGTTATATTGCTATATTATAATATATTACAAACCAATAAGGCTTTTAAAGAAATATTAACTGTAATGTTTTAAAAAATGTAATTATAGTTAACAAAATAACAGTATTGAAATACAGAAACTGTGCAGTTGCAAAACCTATAAAGTAATTGAAAGTAGCTTTTCTTTTTAGAATACATACATTTGTCATAGTTTGGATTTGAGTGTTCTCGCAAGGCTTCCTGAATGCACTGGACTTGCTGAGAAACAGCAGAAAGCATTCGCTCCTCAAGTCTGTTAAACTCATCAAAGCAGCCCCATGCACCTACTTGACAGAGGCCCACAAAGATGCGGCCCATTGCCTAAAGAGATAAAGAGAAAAAAAAAACTCCATTAGGTGTAACTCAGCATCTGTAAAAAGGGGCATTTTCCCCATGGTTTTTAAGAGGCAAAAACGGCTATACAGTCTGAATCTTTTGTTAAGTATTATGGACACATACTGGAGCTTTCCTTGCACTGAAATTTAGGCTCATAACAAGTAACTGGATGTAAGATCCTGTCTCTTAAGTTGGACTCTAGGGTATGGTTGGAATTGTTGCTACTGTACCAGCCTTCCTGCTGCACAGCATCTTCCCTCCATGAATTTCTAAACTCTGTGGCTGGATTGGCAGTTGAGTTCTCCAGGCTTAAGGTCCTAGGGGACTTCAACCTGCCTTCCCAGGGGTAGAATCAGAGATGGCTTTGAAGTTCATGGCCACCATGACAGCCATGGACCTGATCCAGGTCATCAAGGGCCTGATGCACAATGGTGCTCACATTTTGAATTTGGTTTCCCAGTTGGGGCAGCGGTGATGGGATCTGGAATTGGGAGATACTGCCATCGCTCCGCCATGGACTGATTACTTTCTGATCACCCTGGTGTGTCCCAGAGCTCCTCCCTGCCACAGGGAGGCAGAACCTATTTCATTGGTATACTCCAGGTGCTTGATGGACCCTGATGGGTTTCAGAGGGAGCTTGTGGCTCTTCCTGAAGATTTGGTGCACAGTTCAGTTGATGCCTTGGTTGCAGCTTGGAATGAGAGGGCAGCTGGGCTTTGGACCGAATCAAGCCTATGTGGACTCTCTCCTCCCATTCCCCTACCTTTGAAGAACACCTGAAAGCTGCAGTTGTACCAGAATGCAAAATGCAAGCAATTACAGGCATGATTCGGTACACCCATGTTACACCTTTGCTTTGTGAGCTGCACTGGCTCCCAACAGGCTTCTGGTGCAATTTAACGTATTGGCTGCTACCTTTAAAAGCCTTTCATGGCATAGGGCAAGGATATTTAAGGGACCCTTTCTCCAACTGTCTCTACCTGTCCTATCAAGTCTGGCTACAGGGGCATGCTCTGGGGCATGCTCTGGGGAAGCCTATTAAGGAATGCCATCTGGTGGGACCCAGGAAGCATGCCTTTTCTGTTGCTGTACCTGCCCTTTGGAATAACACTCTCCCAAGATTAGATTGGCTCTGACTGCTGGTTTTTTGGAAGGCCCTTAAGACCTGGTTGTTCTTAAGTTGGGGTTGGGAGGTTAGGTGCGTCTGTGAATTACTGTCATTAGCATTGATGGTCTTGGCTGCCATGTTTTATTTTTGCCATGTATTGTTATTTATGATTGTACTGATGTTTTTAATCTCTGCCACTGAGAATTGCTTGCGCAAGATGAGCAGCCATATACAGGTAGTCCTCAACTTACGATGGCAATTGGAATTGGAATTTCTGTCACTAAGTGATGTGGTCATAAAGCGCAACCACATCACTTAGCAATGGCAATCTCTGCAATTCCAGCTGCCATTGTTAACTGAATCCTACGGTCATTAGGTGAGGCAACTTCCTGCTGGCTTCCCACAACCAAAGTCAGCAGGGAAACCAGCAGGAAGTTGCAAGTCCGAGGTCTGCAAGTAGGTAAGTGGCTGCTACTAGGTGGGGGAGGGGTAAGGGGATATGTGTGGGTATGGGGGAGGGTTGGGGAGGGTGTGTGAAGGTGCACAGGAGGGTTGGGGAAAGATGTGTGGTGAGGGATGGGGTGCGAGAGGTGTGGCATGGGTCGGGTGCATGAGGGTGGACGAGAGGTGTCAGTCGGGGAGAGTATGTAGGAGTGCATGAAAGGTGCCATGCAGGCTGGGAGGGTGCACAAGGGGGTGCTCGAGACTTCTCCATTGACTTTCTGGGGAAGCTGGCAGGGAAGGTTGCAAATGGTGATCACGGGGCGCTTGGCAACCAGTCATAAGTGCAAACAGGTTGCCAAGCACCCAGATCCTGATCATGTGTCCATGGGGATGCTGGGATGGCTAGAACTCTGAGGACCAGTTGTAACGACCATTCGTTCGGTGCCATCATAACTTGGAACAGTCACTGACTGAATGGTTGTAGGTCGTGGACTACCTGTAAATTGAAAAATGAATAAATAAAAATGAGTGAGATTGTTGTTCCTTCCCAACAATCCACGTCACTTAAAAATATGAATTGTATGGTTTGAAGTTCATCGTATTTTCTAAAACTATCTGGGTTATTTTGAATTTGATTTTCAAGTTAGCAAGATTGGAAGCTGTGGGGAGATAATTCAATTAGCCTTAATTGGTGATGGCTTTACATTTATCATGCAAAAGTTATAGTATTGTTAGATTACAGTGGGGCAAAAAAGTATTTAGTCAGCCACCAATTGTGCAAGTTCTCCCACTTAAAAAGATGAGAGAGGCCTGTAATTTTCATCATAGGTATACCTCACAGTAGGTATGGTGTTCTTTGGATGCAACTCAGCATTCTCTCTCCTCCAAACACAACGAGTCTCCACTCGTTACCTGTAGTAATGGCACCTGTTTGACCTTGTTATCAGTATAAAAGACACCTGTCCACAACCTCAAACAGTCACACTCCAAACTCCACTATGGCCAAGACCAAAGAGCTGTTGAAGGACACCAGAAACAAAATCAGTAGGTATGGTGTTCTTTGGATGCAACTCAGCATTCTCTCTCCTCCAAACACAACGAGTCTCCACTCGTTACCTGTAGTAATGGCACCTGTTTGACCTTGTTATCAGTATAAAAGACACCTGTCCACAACCTCAAACAGTCACACTCCAAACTCCACTATGGCCAAGACCAAAGAGCTGTTGAAGGACACCAGAAACAAAATCAGTAGGTATGGTGTTCTTTGGATGCAACTCAGCATTCTCTCTCCTCCAAACACAACGAGTCTCCACTCGTTACCTGTAGTAATGGCACCTGTTTGACCTTGTTATCAGTATAAAAGACACCTGTCCACAACCTCAAACAGTCACACTCCAAACTCCACTATGGCCAAGACCAAAGAGCTGTTGAAGGACACCAGAAACAAAATCAGTAGGTATGGTGTTCTTTGGATGCAACTCAGCATTCTCTCTCCTCCAAACACAACGAGTCTCCACTCGTTACCTGTAGTAATGGCACCTGTTTGACCTTGTTATCAGTATAAAAGACACCTGTCCACAACCTCAAACAGTCACACTCCAAACTCCACTATGGCCAAGACCAAAGAGCTGTTGAAGGACACCAGAAACAAAATAATTGGTGGCTGACTAAATACTTTTTTGCCCCACTTGAGGTATACCTATGATGAAAATTACAGGCCTCTCTCATCTTTTTAAGTGGGAGAACTTGCACAATTGGTGGCTGACTAAATACTTTTTTGCCCCACTGTAAGTTCAAAAAAACTATGTCATTTTTGAGTTAGATGCACAAACTTGATACTTCTCTAAAATAATTAATTACAGATGGAAATGCCATACCTGGAAATCAAATGTTTCATCACAGTTGAAAACAAGAACAAATCTTCCAAGCTGATGTCCAAGAGCTTTAACAGATTCTGTTTTACCAGTTCCAGCAGGTCCTGTTTATACATAACATAGAGACAGATTACTTCTGCTCTACAACAGCAGCAGCATAATCTTGACAGGTAGCGATGTATGAGCAACAACCTACCAAATGGAGAACCTCCCAGCCTGGCCTCCAAAGCTTGCGTCATTGTCAGGTAACAACGATCAGTAAGAGGAGTCTGCACCAGTTTATCTTGAACTCCAAGGTACTCAAAGCCATAGTTGAATTTGGCATTAGCCATCTGAATGGATAGTTGCTGCAGGACATCTGTTTGTTTAGGATCAAAGTAGAACCTCATCTGGCTCAACCAATCAAATGATTTGGAGTTGTCAATTCTGCTTTTGATCAATGATCTTGTAACATCTCTTTGGTGCACCAATTCAGTGATCTTTTGAAAAAGCAATAATCAATCTTAGTATACGTATTTAATTGAAACTTGATTATATGAAATGCGCATGTAAAGTAACTTGTATGTCTGGCCTAGAGGCAGTTACTGAAGATTATAACTTACAAGGTGTTCCAGTTTTTTTCTGCGGAGAGGAGGCTGCTCCATCAACACGGAGTCTGCAAGCACATTCAGTGTCGCTTCGACATTGGTCAGCACAGATTGCAGAGGAGTACTATCACCACCTCCACCCATGCTGTTCAAAGCAGACTCCACATTTTCTGACCAGGCAATCTGAGCTGAAAGGACAACAAGTTGGGCCTAGAGAATTAAAAAAAAAGCTTAAGTGTTAGTTATTGGATATTTTGGCTTCCTTCCTCCCACAGCATTTTATCTTATTATAATGCTGAACAGAAAAAAAAAATCAGTACCTGATATTTGTCAATCCATGAGATGTAAGTAGCTGGATCAATTGAAGTTGCTTTGCCAAAGATCTCAATTTCTGTTTCAGACTCAGCAAGAAGTTTGGCAAGTGTTACCCTCATTTCTTTTTCAACAAGTGTGAGCCACTCATTGATCTTTGGATGCTCAGTGATTGACACAGGAGTTTTGAATATCACCTGGAAACAGAATTGTAAGCTTGTTATTACTTTTAAGAGAAAAATGTCTTATGCCATGTGACCCAGAAAACAGCTCTATACCTCCTCTCCCTCACGTGATGATATCCCGAGAACAATGGAGTTGTCTTCGTTAAGGATAATGCTTGACACTCCAGCAAACATCTTCTTGAAATGTTTCTGCAGTTTAGCTACATTTTTGCTGTTTCCAATGATTTCGAGCAAGTCTTCATCCCCAACAAAATAGAACCTAAAAAATAAAGTTCAGTATTTCAGTGGATCCAATATGATAAAGCACACATCAAAACAACAAACCTCAGAGCCAACCCATTTGTGATTTTTCTTTACAAATTGATCAACCAAAGCAAACGAAGACTTTAAACTATTGCTTGTTGAATTTAGAAGTAATTCACACTTATGTAGATGGACAATTAGTTCTGAACTAAATTGCTTACCGAGGGAAAGAAGCTCTCTCTCTCTCCAGGTATTCTCCCAAGGCTTTTTGGATCTTTCCAAGCAAGTCTGCTAATCTTTCCAGAGATCTCTGTACACCCTGAATATTCAGAACATCCATTACCAAGGGAGATTTTGATACCTTTTTCATGAGAGCCAGAAACTCTGTACTGATGCTGAAAAGTCAGGAGGAGAGAATAGTGATGCATGAGACATATAATATCTTCCTCTTTATTTACTTATTATATTTCTATACCACTGAATCTGCCAAAGAGCAGTTAACAATTGATCTGTAAATCATCACAATACAATACAAATTAAACCATCCACAGTAAATAAACCAAAATCAAAATAATTAAATCTAAGCATACAGGTGGTCCTCACTTACTGACTGCAATAGGGATTGGCAACTACATTGCTAAGCAGTGTGGTCATTAAGTGCAATGTCACATGACCACAACTTGTGACTTCCTGGTGGCTTCCCCATTGACTATGCTTGTCAAAAGCTGGCTATGAAGGTCGCAAATAGCGATCACGTGACTGCGGAATGCTGCAATCATCGTAAATGTGCACCGGTTGCCAAGTGCTTGGATTGCGATCACATGACTGTGGGGATGCTGTGACACCTGCAACTTCATGCACCAGTCTTAAGTCTGTAGTTTCAGTGCCAGCACAAGTTCGGACAGTCACTGAATGAGTGATCAGTAAGTGAAGACTACCTGTAGTTACAAAAACTTGATGGAACATTATCAGTTGATCTAATAGAACAGCCATAATGAGAAAAATAATGATTGTGAAATTTTAATCAGCAAAGCCTCTCTAGAACTTTTTATTTTTTTTTTTTAAATATCAACCAGAAAGACATTAGAGAAGCAACTCATCTTTCTGTAAGGGGAGGCTGTTCCATAGAAATGAGCACATAACCAAGAAATAGCACTTCCTGAAAGTGGCCCTCCTAACATCATAGAAGCAGGGAACAACCAGTAGCCTCTCCTGGGATGATTATATAGGAGAACTTGTATAGGATTATATAGGACAATGAGAAGACATTCTGTAAGTACCTAGGTACCAAGCCACTTAGGATTTTATAGGTCAAAATCAGAACTTTCAATTACACCCAGAAACTTACTGGTAGCTAACACAGGTTCCACAACACCAGTGTTATATATTCCTGGCAGCCAATACCAGAAACCATTTTGTACCAGTTCCAGTTTCTGAGTGAACTTCACAGGGAGCACTAAGTAGAGATCATTGCAACGGTAGTATAATTACTACTGTTGAACTGTTCCATGAAATCTCCAAAACTAAGTTAACACACAAACTATTAACATTCTCATATTTACACCCAGAATTGGGGTCAGAACATTACCTTTGGAACCTCTGGGTTTCAACTGGCAGCAGATGTTTGATATCGGCACTACCCGTGAAGATGCCTTCCAAGTAAACCCAGCGCCTCTGGACATCTATCCAGACATCAAAGAGTGCCATAATTCGATTCAGTTTGTCTTCCCAGCTAAGGGCATCTTCTTCAAATACCTACATATAAATAATGAGCTTCAATTAATGAAAACAAATCCACAGTAGTCTGCAACTACTAATTAAGACATCTATTAATTTACCAGAGTCACCATTAAATTACAACAATTATATTTATTCGGTAAAAGTACTGATTGTATTTCCATAAAGATCACAATGTGATAAACAATAAAATATAATAAACTAATGTTAAAACATATAAAAAGTATTTTAAACCAGAAATCAGAATGTTAAGGGCCAAAATAATGTATTTTAATTGTTTTTCAAAATATGCAGTCCTTTTCCTGCATTTTTATTGAACAGGCTCTGTGAATAATGAAGTTTCTCAAAAGGCTTCTGTTACAGATCTTAAAAACCAGGCAGGCTAGTGACACAAGCAGGTATTCAGATAGCTGGGTTCTAAAACCATTCATGCTATGAACTGTGTTTGGAAACAGTTGGCTGTCATTCACTATGAGCAGCCTGGCTGCCACATTTTGCAGCAATTGAGGCCTCTGGGTATTCTGCTGATGATCCTAAATTGTAAGTAGTTTTGTATGGAAGCTTGCACATTGTGTCTATGCTTGTTAAGATGTCAAAACTTTTCCAAGAATAAACTGAAGCATGGATTACCATATTCAAACATACTGAGATATGGAGAAAATAAAATAAATATAGCTAGTCATTACCTTGTAGTATGGAGAAAGCTTCATTGCAGATACACTGTTGATGTGCTCTTTGACCTTGTTGAAGAGGTCATCCCAACCACGAATCAAACGACATTTGTTCTGATAATTAACCAAATCCAACTCATAGGTATTCCATACTTCACGTATCTTTAAACAAAACACAAAGTAACAATGAGACCTAGAGCTTATGGTAGTAAAGACTGTGAAACTTCTCTACAAAACCCAGTTACGGAATATAATCTATTCATATTTTTGTTAAAAAAAATCACTAGAATATAAACTGAAAATCTTTTAAGTGGTATAGATATTAAAGGTGAATTGCTACCTGCTTCAAGAATTCTTCCAGTGCCATCTCTCCCTGTGCCACCAGTAGCACATCCTTCACAATCAATTCATTCTTCTGCAAGTCAACATCCCAAATCTGCCCCAGAGTTAGTTCAGAAACCACCCAATTGACATGCAGCCTCTTCATCAGTTGTTTCCAGTGACGATCTTTAAGAGCTTCTGATTTCAGCTCAATTACCAACATATTTATCTGGAAGAAAGACATCAGGAGGAAAAGCATAAAATTATTTTTTTAATCAACATACTGCTATATTCAAGTATTTTTCAAAAGCAAACGTACCTTCATGTAACCCTTCAGAAGTCTCTGAACATATTCATAGGAAGCATATTGACGTAGCCGAGCAGGAAAATTCTTCAGCTGGTTTAGTAAGCCATCTAAACTTTGTCGAAGCTGTCAAAACAGGAACAGTTTGAAAAAGTAGCACATTTTGAAGGCTATTAATCTATAAATGTTGATACATGTTTTATTACATACTTATTAACATATTTTAACTGAAGTAATCTTTATCTGTGATATGACCAGCTGTATACCCACCCCGAGTCTGCAAATATAAATTGATCTTATTAATTCATTGTAAAATTTCTTTGCCCAAATCTTGGCTTTATTCTAGCCCTACTTATATGGTTGCATCCAGTACTGTCCAGCTGACAGCAAAATAGGTATAGCTTGCCAAACCAATTTGCCAAATCTGCTGTGGAAGCTTGGGAGACTTTGCAAGACTAGGGGTATACTGAAGTTGTGCCTTTGAAACTTTGCATTTGTTAACTATTACTAGGCTTTTTTTCCTTAGTTAAAATTAACTCAGAGTTCTCCAGTTCCAATCTTTTTGAAAAGAAATAGTTGATGTCTTATCTAATATACAAACCAATAAAACAGAGATAATACCAAAAGAATATTCTTGTAATGTACTTTATGCAATAGTAAAATAACTAAGGAAGTATTTATCCAAAAAGTCTGGACCACCATAGCATGGATCCATTTCATAAAATAGCTCTTCACATTTTTAAACCACCTTTTTTCCAGGCAACAGTGTCACTTCTATGTATTTTATTTATTTAACAAGTTTCTATAGCCACCCATCTACCCAAGGAACTCTGGGTTGATGGATGAACATAACCAAACTATACAAATTCAATTCAAAAGAAACTGGGTCAAGGTCCCTAAAAATAACATTATCAACACATCAAACAAAACCAAACCCATCAGCTTCTGCTTGCTTAAATATTATTTTTGACATGGATATGGCACCTTTCATTCAGTGGTCAGTAATACAAATATTAAAGGTGGATATGCCACCTTTCATTCAGTTTGCAGTAATACAAATATTAAAAAAAAGAAAATAAAACAATAGACAATAAACTGTATAGTAACAGTTAATCCAAGTTGTGTTATACCAAAATGGGTTCAATGTTCAAACACTCTTCCCAATTAATATTGATATGAAGTACATATAATTTAATGCTGAAAAAGTAAATTTTGATGGAGGTAGGGACTTAAAAGAAACCAGTATTGAGATATGCAATATGAGTCATCAGTAGATTATCTCTAGAGGTTCCTAGTTTCTAATATGGTTCAATAATGAAAGAACAGTGATTGAAGTTCAGTGATTTATCTTTATGGACTCTCAAAGGGTATACCAAAGCTCCTAGGCCTCCCATTATGAGGCTACCCAATTTGTGTTAATGAGTGTTTTCCAACACATCTGAAAAAAGGTAGTTTCAATTTCTACATTATAAGAGTTAAATATATAAAGGAGGATATATTGTGCATTTAAGAATATGTGACACCCCCTGCCCCTCAGTTCTACATCTTCTACATGAATAGCTGAAGTAATACCTTTCTGGGTTGTACAGAAACCCAAGGCTGTTCCTTCATTTGATCAATCTGTTCCCAAACTTTTGAAAGCTCAGACCAGACTCCTTTAAGGTCCTGTAGCTCTTCTAAGGCAACCTGTGATGCAAAAAAGTTAAAAATATGAATACATAAAAATATGAATAGATACAATAACAAAATATATGATTTCTGAAGTATCAGTGTAACTATAGCAGAGACATATGTTTTTCTAATTACAATCTCACAGTTATAAAACATTCATGTTCCAATTCATAGAACCAAACTCTGGTTTTTCATACTTGGACACGTTCTTCACTGCCACTGAGAAGTCCTGTATCAGTAAGCTCCAGAGCTTCTTTGGCCTTTGCACATTTTTCACGGTCATCTTTCAACCTTCCAAATTTCCCTTCATAGATGGTAAGTGCTTGGAGAGCCTCCTCTGGACGCAGGTTGCCCTTAAGAAAGCAATAATGAAACTTTAATTGTTTAATTAATTTATTAAATTTAATATCAAATCTGATATTTTAGAGCCCACCATTACATAAATTGGAACTTCAGCACTATCACATTTTAGCTTCATAGCTGATACATATGGAGTGAAATTAAGAAACAGGTCTCCAAATGCATGTTGACGCTAAAAGAGAAAAACAACTGGTTGAATTAATGGAAACCTACTGTTACAGGCTTTGTCTTCTCCCAGTCTGTCAGTAAGTCCACTGTGCGGCTTTCTACAGCTCGATCTTCTTGAACAATCTTCATCTGCAAGTTTGCTACTTGCTGCTGAATGGCAGAATCTTTTCTTCGCATAATATCATTGAAAGCACCCCATTCTCCTTCAATGTTGTCAATATACAACCAGGATGAAGGAAACTGGAATCTCTGCTTCTCAAGTAAGCGTTGGCCATTACGGTATAGCTATATGGTCAGCATAAAAAAAAAAAAAGTTATATTGTATGTTAAGATCAAAAGACACATAAGTTGGAAATTTAAATCAGCTGCTGCTACTATAATATGAAGAATTTAATGACTTTACTGAAAAGGTTAAAACAATCACTTTAAAAAGACATGCAATTTTTTAAAATCTGAGATTGACAAAGAATTTATAATTAGAATATATATTTTAATTTTTTTAAAAAAAATCTGCCATAAAAAGCTTACCTCAACTTGTTTCTCAAACTGCTTGATTTTGCGTTTCAGTGATTGCACATATGTGATAAATGTTACAGCATCAGATGTGCTAGCTGTATCCACTGAATGTTGCTCCAATTCTTGACGTGACTATAAGAAATGGAATAAAGGACAAAGCTATAAATATATCAGGAAACTTCAGAACAACTTACAACAGAGAAACCTCTCTAAAAATTGATAGGTCAGAAAGAAGATGTCACTATTACTCATGGGGTTTTAACTAAGATTCCCAAGTCAATAAAAAGTATGGAACAAGACAACCCTTTTATCCTATCTGTCAATATAGTGTTAGATTAGGCTCAATTAGCTTTCCTCTCCTTTTTGTTTTTGCTTAGAGTAACTTAATATAACAAATGTTTATCATCTTCGCTTCAGAACATCTTTACCTTGGAAATCTGAGAGTGGAACTCTGTCATGTTTTGGCCCAGCATTTGACCAAATTTGCTCAGTACTTCTTTATGCCAGGAGTCATACTTCAAGTTCACTTTGGACTGAACCTACACAGTGAAAATAATGATACTTTTATTCTATACCCTTCTACCTCTGTAACACAAAACACTGTTTTTATTTTTTTATATTTTATTTGCGCATTCATTCCCATCCTTTTATTTCTGGCCTGCATTTGCATGCTTTAAGGAAAAGTTACTAAAAAAACCCATCAGCAATATCAATGTTTCTGACATTTGTTTTGCAATCTGGTTAGGTACTAAATTAACAAACCAACAATGTTACTCAATAGTATTCTTCAAAATATTTACCTTTCCATAATCTATGATAACAGGCCCAAATTCCTTCCTAGTTTCTGCATTGTCAAAGGTTCCTCTGGCTTTTCTGATTTGAACCAACAGTGCCTGCCACTTGTTTAAGTCTTCTCCAAGTCGGTTATAGATATTTTCAGCTTGCATATCCCATAAGCACTGGTACTGTAGCCAAACCTATAGACCAAGCCCACACAGAAGGAGAACTTAAGCAATTCATTTTAAGAAATAAGTCATCAATTTCTAAACACATAGAAAATTACTTTTAGGGATTTAGGTCCTTTAAAAAAACAAAACAGAACTAACTCTCCAACCTATAAAATTAATGTACTTGTTAGAGTGTAAAGGCAGAACATACAGCAATAAATAAATAATCAATTAAGACACTGTCACATAGAATACTGATACATTATAATCTTAAAATGACCCCATGCCCCAAAGAAAAAAACTAGAATCCCACCTTAACATATTGTTCAACCTCTGTTACAATCCCCTTGACTGCAGAATAAGCCTCCTCCAGAGCTGAAGGACCATCTGGCATCCGTGTCAAAGCATTACGATAAAACTTTTCTTCTTCTGATAACTCATAGTGTACACCAACCTAATCAAATCCAGAATTAAATACAGAGCAATTTTTAAAAATGGAAACATTTAGCAATTTGACAAAAATTCTTGAAGGTTTAATGTTCTCAAGAATTCTTTGAGTCAAATGTGTGGGGTTTTTTTACCTGGTATCTCTGACTTTGGATTCTAGGAAGTGATAATATTACCGTCTTCCAAGCAAACAATTCTTGGAAGAGTTTGTATCTGCAGTCTTCAATTGGTGGATTCAAATAGATCACCTGATTGGTTATTCGGAGTTCATGCACAACGTTCTGCAAAAGTATAAAGCCATGTTCAGTTTTGCTGTACTAGGTAATGGCATAATAACATTCATTTAAAAACCCTGCAATGATATAGTTGGAGAACAGGTTACAGTGTGATTGACCTAGTTGCAAAGCTATGTATTTCATTACTTCAAACTATATCTCAAAACTGACCTCTCCTATGAAACTATTTCCTTAACTGCTTAATGTTCATTTGCAAAGCCAGAATCAATTTTTATTTTTATCCACATCTTCATTCCTCTATTCTCTCTCAAAGTATGAACATTTACATGGAAAACTCTTTAGCATAGAGACCTGTCTCTTTTGATTATGAAATTCTAACATTTATACACGTGTAACAAAATGAATCTTATTTGTTTGATGTACCGATAGTGATAGCAGGTCCAGTGAGACAAAGACGACAAGGGAATAAACATGAGGTACAGGAAATTAAGATAATCCACACACTGAAAACCAGAGTGAAGGTTGGGGAAAAGTGTAGCACAAAATCTTTAGCTATTGGCTAGCAATTGTACAATGGAATAGGCACCCCAGTTTTCTCTTATCCCTAATCTTTAAATAAACTGCCAAAATAGATACATTGTTATAGTTAGAAGAGCTAGAAATTTTCCAGTAAAACACTCTGGAAGGCAACTTCTCTGCAAAATTACATTTACTGCATTTGTGCAAACAGAGAATAAACTTCAACAGCACTAGTACTGAGGTTCTTCAGCTACTAATAGTATTCAAACTGTGCAGGTCTAATTTAAAGTGAAAACTTCACTTACTTTGATTTTGGGCTCTCCACCTGGTTTATGACTGACTTGTGGAGCATCTGTATCCATATCTACTTCTGCTTTGTCATCAGCTTGACCAAGAAGTACTTGTGTCCATGCTCTCAACCCAGCTTGCAGACGAACTCCTAGTATTCTCTCAATCTAGGATGCAAATATATTCAACAACTGTATCACTTGACAACAGTACTAATGTTTTTATTTATGTTTTAAATGAGATTTGTCTGCCGATGGTTCCATATGCATATACAACAGATTCATTAACTCATTTTTAAACTATGGCTTGTTGAACAAGCTATAGTGGTATAGTTCATATAATACACTGTCACAATTACTTAGGTCTGCACATACAGATAGACCTCGCTTAATGACTGCCATGTTTAGTGACCGTTAGAAATTACAATGGTGTGGGATAAGTAACTTTATGGCCAGTCCTCACACTTGCAACCGTTACAGCATCCCCACAGTCATGTGATCAAGATTCAGGCGCTTTGCAACTGATGGGCATTTATGACTGTTGCAGCGTCCTGCAGTCACATGATCACCATTTGCGTACTTCACAGCTGGCTTCCGATAAGCAAGTCAATAGAGAAGCCGGCAATAAAATCACAAGTTGCGGTCATGTGATGTCTCACTTAGCGACTGTGTTGCTTAGCAACCGAGTCAATGGTTTCAATTGTGGTCATTAAGCGAGGACTACCTGTAACACAAAACAAGTATCAATATGTCTTAATGTTACATGAAAACTGGGCCACTGGAAAATTCAGAAAATAGTAAATCCCCTTAAATTTTAAAGTAAAATATGTTTAAGAGTAAAACTTCCAACATTATTTCTGGGTTATTGAAATAAGATTTGACAGTTTTTTAAAAATTTCACCTTTAATATGAGTCATCATACACAGACACACAATTTATATGCTGCTAAATTCCAAAAAATCTGAACAGTTAAAAAAGGAACAAGCAAAATCAAAAGAATTATAAGAAACTCCATCCCCCATCAACAAAAAATTTCCTACCCACTGACACACTGGATCAAGTAGGCTAACATAGTTTTAGCAGTGTATTTAATAATCAAGGAAAAGCATATTTCTGGAACCTATGGTTTGTTAAATTCTTATTGCCTTCTTTTATCTCCTACATACATGTTATCATCTAAACAGAAAAACTGATAAAAATAGTATTATTCTTATTTACTGTAAGTAAATAGACTGGATTTCAAAAAGATCTAAGCATAAGTAACACTATACTACTATGTATGTTTGCAGGTAAGTTTTGCTGAGCTACAATGAGGGCTATTTTCATGTAAGTGTACCAACTTGGAATTTAGCAACTGAATATAAAAGGAAATAAAGAGAACTGTGGACTTCAATCACCTTTTCTTCAGATTCTTTCCCAGGATGTAAGCCAGAGAGTTTAGGAAGAAATACAGCCAGCGAAGCTTACCTCCATATCTAATTTATTCACCCAGATTGGCAAGTTGGAATATGAATGAAGATTCAAATCGTCTACAGCCTTCTGAACTCTGTTTAAAATTTCAGAGAAGGTTTTGTGATCATACATGCATGTTTCCAAAGATCTGACTTCCAGGTCTATTTTCTCTTCAATGATAAGCAAGTCATCCACCTAGAAGATAGAAAACAAGCCTTTCAAAATTCTTTTTCAGTACTTAACAATCCTTTCCCCAAAAACCTACTTCTTTATCATTGTAATTGCATGCCCATTAATTTTAAATATATAGTGTAAATTGTACTAGCTAGGTCACCTAGAGTTTTAGTATATTTAGGAATTATGATACCTATACTACTTCGGTCTCTAGAGAAATGCCTGCAGAACAAGAAGACTTAATGAGTTTTTTTAAAGATTACTTTCTGCTCCCATCTTGTATTTTCCTCAAGTTTTTCTGTTGAAACATTACTTCGTCATTCATCCACTTAAAACCCCAAACCTGAAACAACAAGTACAAAAATAAATTAACCTTTTCCTGGAAGTTGAAGACAGTCTCTGCCAATCGCTGGACATAAGGATCAAGTTTGTAAGATTCCCACACCAGTGCAATGCCCTCTCCGATCAAAGCCTGCACTTCTTTTTTGAGACCCGCAACCAAGAGAGAAATGGTATTTCGTTCTTCCACCTTTTCACAAGTACGTTCATATGTGCGAACACTCTCGATCAAAGAGATGGCAAAAGGATATAGCTGATTGGCTTGGTGAGCTTTGTTGACTATTGCAAGAGGAACCCGAAATCCAAGCCACTTGAGGTTACGGACTTCTTTTGATAATGTAATTATTTCTGGGAGGAAGTTAACTTTTAGCTTGAGGACATTTCCTGTTCTGCCTCTCACACGAGTACTCTCAATGGTAAAAATGCGACCAGAGACACCAAGGTTTCGCTGCTGAACCTTCCGAGCCCAATCATCAAATATTTCTTGAGTGTTGAGTTTCATACGGAAGCTATCTCCATCTTGCTTTAGCTTCTGCCCTTCTACATGGTTCTCCCAACCCTTTCCAAGAACATCTTCAACACGCTTCATATAAGCTGTAAGTTGCCTGTCAATCTGTTTAGCCCAGATTATAGATCCTGCTACTGGAGGCAAATCTCGAACATGACTCATTTTGCAAGCCTGACTTTGAGGATACTGAACTTTGAACTTGTCATGAAGTGATTCTATGTCATCTTTCACACGCTGGATTAACTGTGTTTGGTATTCACGGATAGCACCTCTAATATGGGGCCGAACAAACAGAGCATTAAATCTGGAGAAGATTCTGAACATTTCATTGGCATTCTTTGCTGTGCCGAGCTGATCTCTTAGGCGAGCAGTAATGCGGGTTTCAACTCTATCAATTCTTTCATCATATCGCTTCATTGCAGCTTCCCAGGCTTCTGTACCTTCTTTGGAAACATCCAAGCCATCTACTTCTTTAACGTTCTCATAAGCAAGATTTACTTCCTCAATTGCGTTAGCATCAGCGGCATCAAACAACACTTCTGCTACTTTCATATCTTGAGGCTCAGGCACGTCTCCCTGATTTTGCTGGGCCACAGCAGTAACCTATTTAAAGTGACAGCAGTTAATCAGATATTTGTTATTTATCATTTGGTATTCCAGAGCACAGAGGAATAGAGTTTTAATATTCAACAAGGTATCAAAAATGACCTGGCCTGTTCATTTAAACTCAAGATGCCAGCATGTTTGTTATGAGTTTTCAGCATCTATTTTAACACGTCTTTGCAATATTTATCCCACAAGCCAATTGTGGGAGTTCTTTGCTGTTCAAGCAATTTCTTTGGAAGCTGGTTTATAACATCTTTTCTAATTAAAAATAGCCTTCACTAGAAGCATATGAAACAAACACCTGACAAGATTAAATGCATGCTTAAGGTTTGGAAAATATATCATTGTTTTTAACAGCAATGGTAATCAAGAAATGTATTACCTGAGGTCTTAGCACTCTGACAATGACTGCTCTTAACTGTTCATGCTGTCTCCGAAACTTCCTCATTTGATCAAGACGAGCCTGCAGCTTTCTGTGAGCAGGATTGATACGCCATACCATCTTCAGATTCTCTTCTCGCTTTCTTTTCACAATGTCTCTTAGTAAGACCTGCAGTTTCTCGTATTCATCATCCCAAGATTGGAAGACTTCAAAGCATGCAACCATGACCTGAAATAATATTGAATAAAGGAAATCAACATATTGTGTACATTTTTTTGAGTTTATTATGTACTGTATAGCCTATTGAAAATCTGTCTTCCCAACTTTTGAAGAGACACAACTAGTAACCAGCCATTATGGAATAGACAAACACATATTTCAGAGTGTCAACTGTTTCTCCAAATTTTCAGAATGTTCTAAAACTGAAATCTGTGAGAAATCTATCTTTAAATATAGTTATGCAGTCACCACACAGTCAATATAAGCAATTAGTCCCAATACTAGAGCTTCTGTGCAGTAGAAAGTAGGCTGTGCATCTTCTGAGTTGAAGCTAGTATTCTCTCTCTGTCCAAATGTTTAGTCTGATGTCCTCCCTCATTCCATCTGCATCTAAGCAAGACTTACCTTCTCAAATTCTTCATAGGCAACATGCATCAGTTTTCGTGTGCCCAATACTTTGAGTAACTGGGAACTTAAGTCTCTTGAAATGGCTTCCACTAAGCGCAGAGCTCTTTGAATAGGATATTTTGTATTTCTTATTTTTCTCAGGTGAGTGAATATTGCCACCAATGCCTGTCTTATTTTATCCAGTTCAGTTGCAGACAATAAATCATTTAGAGGGAAGTCTTTCATTAATGGATTATAATCATTTACTGTCTCCAATGCCTGCTTCAGACCTGGGCGTTAAAAAAAAAAAGTGGATTTGTTTTTTTAAGTATTAAAAGAGCCAAAAAAATCACAGTTCTGCCAAATTCTGTTTCTGGGCAGCTCTTACCTGTGTCTGTATCAAAGCTAACAGTAGCATGAAAACGTTTACCATGCTTCAAGATATCTAATGTTAATAGAACTTCAGGGCTTTCACGCTTCTCCTGAATACGGTAAAGAGCACGTTCCAAATTGAGCCAGAAGCTGATTTCTTGCAAAGCAGTGCCTGATGCAGGATCCCGATCTAATTTGGTCACCTAGAAAAACAAAATGAAGTAACGTGTTTAATGAAGGTAGAATGAAAACACATTAAGCCATAATTTTATGCAATGAGATGAATATAGCACCTGGTTTCCTCATTCTGCTTCAATGTTGTTCTACTATACAGGTAGTCCTCGACTTATGATAGTAATTGGGACCAGAATTTCCATTGCTAAGTGATGCTGTCATAAAGCACAATGTCATGTGTCCGCATCACTTAGCAATGGTAATCCCAGCACTCCCTGCTGCCATAGTTAACCAAATTAACCTCACCAGTTGTTAGCCAAGGACCCACGCCAATCCAAGCCATTCTGGGCTTGGTCCCTCCCAGCTCTGAGCCTCGGTAAGGTAAGGGACTGCCCTCCTCTTCAACTCCCCCCACTTATCTCCCCCCCCATTTTAGTCCTTTTGGCCACCCTGCACCCTGCCTTGTGGGGTGGTAAGCAGCCCCAGAGCTGTGTGGCTCTGAGGCTGCTTGCCACACAGTGGCTCAGGAGCTTCTTGGTGCACCACAGCTCTGGAGCTGCAAGAGGTCCCTGAGCTGCAGCGCAGCACAAAGGTGCAGCCGGCCCTGGAAGCCTCAGCCACCCCAGTAGCATCGTACAAAGCTGCAGTGCCCCAGGAAACCCCAGCAGCATGGCGTGATCATACATCCTTTATGATAAAGTACAGTCCTTTATTTCAGAAATCTATCCTTTAAATTTAATTAATTAATTAATTAATTTTCTTGGTTTTGCTCCTGAATTTTCCTTTGTAAAGCGTGGTTATAATCATAAACATTTTTTTTTAACCTTATGAACCTCTTTCAGATTTGCCCCTTCTTCAGGTTTACCCTTTATTTTTTCCAAGAAAATATGGTCACTGTATCTATAAATAATATAATAATGGGCTGTGTGAACCCAGCCAAATGTGATTTATTTCAATACATCTTGGTTAATGCGAAGTAAGAACCCATCCTAATGGTACAATCATAAACTCATTTACCAAGGAATGTCATATTGAGGTTTACTTCTGAGTAAACTTGCATAAATTGTTTTGTTATAGCCCATGCTATAACAAATAAATGTCTTAAATTTATTTAATGCTTATTCCTAGAGAATCCTGAGGGGAATTTGTCTGTTGAGGAATCTTTGTGTTATTCCTTCACAAACCCCAGTACACTATGGAGGATTCTGGAGTTCTATTGCACTCATGCAGTCCTATAAGTGACATTGCTATGCTTCATTCAAATAGTGCTGTAGATGCACGCTGCAGGAGAGACTGTGAAAACTTTATCATATTTTTCTCCAGGAAATTTCATCTGTTTTTACTGACCCTCTATTTGGGAAATTGCTAATAAAATTTTTGCATTATTCAGATATCTGGGAGCATAGCTTGAGAACTACTCCTAACTGATTAATTAGAAGTTGAAGCTGAGTTAATTTGAAAAATATAACTGCAAAGCAATGGATTTGAAAGTAGTTGATGACTGCACATAAAATAATTATTGGAATGATATAGAAAAACTTACATACAACTGCTTCTTACTTAATTAGGAACATACAACTTCTAATAAACTCCAGTTACTATATACTGTACAGAAAATGCCAGTCTTGCAATAAGAAATACAGTTGAAAAGGGTCAAATAATGAACAACAACAAAGTAAAATACTTATAAAGACAACGTTTAGATTATCTAATACAATATTAGGAGAGCCAGTTCGGTGTAGTGGTTAAGCTGCTGGCCTAGAAACCCAGAGACTGTGAATTCTAGGCCTCCCTTAGGGATAAAAGCTGGCTGGGTGTCTTTGGGCCAGTCACTCTCTCTCAGCCCAACCCGCCTCACAAGATTGTTGTTGTGGGGAAAATAGGAGGCAGGAGTATTAAATATGTTTGCTGCCTTGAGTTATGTATACAAAAGGTGGGATAAAATAGCAATTATAATAATGGTAATTATAATAATATATTTCCCAATTTACCTTTTGGATTTCTCTAATCCAGCGGTTAACTCCAGATTGTAGTTGGTTGAGAAAAGTTGGGTCTTCCACTTTATCACCAAAATCTGTAACCTTTGGCTTTTCTCCACGTTCATAGCATTGCTTGGCAACATTAGTGATAATTGGATGAATTGGTAAACTAATCTCTGGTATTTCAATATTCTGCTGAAGATGCAAAAGTCCCATTTCAAGTTCTGCAATTTTTTTCTCAACTGAGGGAGCCATTTTATCCCCATCCCTTAAGAGAAATACAGAAATAGGCCAAATAAAAATCCACATATGTAATTAAGCCATTTACAATACATGTGCATGCAATCCAGAGTATGTTCTCCACCAATACAAAGACAATGCAAGTTATTATTACAATTTAAGATAATTTTGATAAAAGAATGAGATGTGCCACACAATTAACTGCTGTTCAGTTTATACAGGGAATCACATAGTCCAGAAAGTTTCCTCCTATCCTATAAGGACCCTTGGGAGTAGCATCAAATGCAGTGTGAAAACAATCATCATCATCAAAAAAAACACACAAAAAAACACCTCTTAAAATGTCTTTTAACAGTTAGGATCTTGACTATCAATAGCTTTCCACATATCTTCCTGTATGTCTCTTCTTTATTCATTCATCCATATTAGAGATACAAATTGCACCAAATAGAGTAGTTACCTGTCTGCCTTGCCAGATTCTCTGATGTAGGACTTAAAGAACGGAGCAACAGCATTGCTAATGAAGGAATGCAAAGTTTCATAGGGAGAATCTTCACTGAGAGTGAGAACTCTGAGCTGGGATGACACAGGCTTGTCTGCATCAATTACCGGTGTCCGCTTAATGAAAGCCAAACTATAGATTACAGAAACATTAGTAAGCATTTACTCAGTTTATTATGAGGACATGCAAATTCTAAGCAGGTTCAATTTTTGTTACATTTGTATCTTACTTCCACTTCAAATATGTACTCAACTAGTTAATAACAATACAAAGTATATAGAGACATTAGGTTTTGATATGATAACATTGGTTAAATATTTTTACAGTATCTAGGAATAAAAACATCTGCTAATTAAAAAACGATTTTGAAAATCCTGCCAAATTACTTGAAAGGCCACATATCTAATAACAGCATCTTGCCTGATCTTTGAATCCAAGTTCAACCCTACTGACTTCATGAACAGGTTAAAGCAGTTTTTTTGGCCACAGTACAAAAATGGTTTACCGCTATCTTCTGGGGAGACCTCCCATCTAGCCTAGCGTTCTAGTATTTTCTGGTAGCCTGGACATAAAAATTGAACTGTTAAAATTGCATTTAAACCAGAAGCAGACAAGAAAGCTCTCCCAACATGAATTCCTACAGCACCTAAGATTGCAATAGCACAATTCGGTAGCAAATATTAGTAAGCTGCCAATTTTTCACTTTTGAAAAAATAAAATCCTTACACAATTGTGTAAGCCCATGATGTGCTTAAAGTTTTAATAGGAAATCACCTCCCATAAAAAAAAGGGGGGGCATCCCGACCCTATTCTTTCCAGTGGCTATATAACTCCTTACAGCCTTGGACAAAGAAAATAAAAAAAGCTAACAAACATAGATTGCAGAACGCTTACCCAGATCTCTTTTCAACTCAGACAAGTTCTTATGGGAAATTAAGATCATTACTCATATGACATACATCATAATCAGCACTCAAACGTTTTTGTGCCAGAAAATGGGATATGCTTTCTCGAATTGGTCTTGGTCAATCATCTGACTACAGCTATAGCATGAAAGAGGAATAACTGAGATATGACAATACAGGTAGTCCTCGACTTACAACTATTCAGTCAGCAACTGTTCCAAGTTACAATGGCGCTGAATGAATGGTGGTTATGACCAGATTTCCAGCTGTCCCAACACCTGACCAGTCCAAGCAACCCACCATCACATGATTGCCATTTGCAACCTTCCCCGCCGACTTCCCCAGAAAATCAACAGGGAAGCCAGCAGGGAAGGTTGCAAGTCACTGAGGCAAGTCTCCCCCACCCGCACAACTTCCCCTAGCCCCTCTGCACTTGTACCGTGCCAGACACTTGTTCACCCTATGCACCCTTACTGACCCATGTCACACTCCCGTGCATCCTCCCTGTGTCTCTCATACCCTCACTGACCCTCTCCTTTAATTGAAATCTTTAGTTCTTCCTATAGGTAGTCCTCGACTTACGACCATTCGTTTAACAATCATCCGACGTTACAATGGTGCTGAAAAAAGTGATTTACAACTGGTCCTTGCACTTATGACTGTTGCAGTGTCCCCAGTCATGTGATCAAAATTTGGGTGCTTGGCAACTGGCATATAATTATGGCAGTTACAGCATCCGAGGGTCACGTGATCGCCATTTGCGACCTTCCCAGAGGGCTTTCGACATGCAAAATCAATGGGGGAAGCTGGAATCCCTTAATGACTGTGGCGATTTGCTTAATGACTGCAGCAAAAAAGGTCGTAAAATCAGGCACGACTCATTTAATGGTCACAGTGTTTAGCAATGGAAGTTCCGGTCCCAACTGTGGCTGTAAATTGAGGATTGCCTGTGGTTCCCTCTAGTCTCCAATTTTTAAAGTCTTATCTTATTATGTTTATTTTTAAAAGAATTCAAAACAGCATTTTCCCACGGGAAGGATTTATAATTAATTCCAAAATCTTATTTCAAATTTATCTGGATCCTTAGTCCATCTGTAACTTTCTAAAATTAAAGTTTTAATCACCCTTTTCCTGTTTATTCCAAAACATTTTTTTTTAAAGTCCTTAAACTTGTATTTAAAGCATCTTTCGCTAAGGATTGAAGGAAATTCACCTGGTGCTGTAAAACCTGTCAAGCCAAAGGTTCCTAATAGCTGAAAAGCAGTTAACAAGCAATTTCTGAAAATGATTAGAAAAGGAAGTGTGCAAACCCAGTGTCCTTTCAAAGGCACCAACTGTAGCTTGAGCAAGATGGTTATTCCCTCGTCCCCCAGAGCTCTAAACCTGATGGAGACTGCTATCTTGTGGTCTCCTTGCGAGGAACAACTGTCTGCAGCATTTGTGAGCGATTTTAAGTCCTTTCCTTGTCTGGAGAGGAATTATTAAAAAGCTGGTCTACTTGCCAGCTCTTCATTCCACCGCAGTCATCAGAGTCGTCTTGAGTCCACCATTTCTTCCCCTGAAGTCCGGCACTTGCAACTTCCTGTCCGCTTCCCCACTGACTTTGGTTGTGGGAAGCCAGCAGGAAGTTGCCTCAGCTAATGACCATGGGATTCAGTTAACAACAACTGGGACTTGCAGGGATTGCTATCACTAAGCGATGTGGTCGTGCTTTACAACTGCATCGTTTAGTGACAGAAATACCAGTCCACATTGCTGTTGTACGTCGAGGACTACCTGTATATGACATTTCCAGGTCTGGCACAGTAGATGCAATAACCTTAGCTGTGGAAAATTAGTCTTGGCTGAAACATGGGCATCTAAATTTAAGGCTAAATGAAGGGAGTACAACTAAGGTGTAAAGTTGAATCTTCAAAGGGAGAATAATCCCATCCCAAAAGTAGAATGAATCTTGCTTTCTAATTTGACTAACAGCAATTCTGTTTTATTTGGTCGCTTTGTTCACTGCTGACAAATGAACACTTATAGTTTGATGTGAAAGTTAAATATAATCAGCATGCATATGGCCCTAAATCCTAAAGCACTGGAATCCTTTCTTAGAACATTTCATACTTTAATTCACATTTGTTATTTATGATCCACATAGAACAATAATGATTTGTCATTTTCAAATATGTATGTATGTTAGGCATATTTAAAGGCAAAGAATCGTCATACTGACCAGCAGACTACAGGACTTATCTTGACTCACCTGTTTGATTTTATACCATAATGAATGTCAGTGCTTATCCCATAAGAAATAAATTCTTTTTCTTCCTCTCCTTCATCACCAACATCCTCTGCAAATAATTAAGAAACCTTACTAGCATCAGTTTCTTCACTAAAGACATTTTTGTTTATTTTGCAAGTTATATCTCTGATATATGAAAAAAGAGAAATAAGAAAAAAAAGAGGACAAAGGGAAACATTAGAAAACAAAGAAAAAAAATTACAGGAAGTCATCTAATTTTTGAACAGATCATTAAACCCTGGCCACACAAAATAATATTTTCCATTATCTCAACAGACTACCCCATACACAGAAAGCAAACATGTATCAGTAATCTAAAATTGCAGATTTGGGGTCACCTTGTCGCTTCAAAGACTAATATCTTTGCTGCCTCTCCTATGCTTAATTCATAATTCTTCGGAACCATCAATTCATATTTTATGATATACAATTTAGCATAAAATTTAGCCTTGTCATTCATAATTACACTTACAGCTTTACTTCACTACATGTATTTATCAACTGTACTCCATATGATCTGACCATCATTCAGATAAATTATATTCTTCCATTTTGTTTCACACATATACCCATGTTCTATTTTTAATATCAGTCAATTCATGTTCTTTATTATTTATTCCTCTTACATTCTGAATCACAAACTTTATTATTAAAAAAAATTAAAAATAAAGTGCAGGCTTAGAACCATCCAAAACCTATTCCAATTATCAATAGCAATTTGCAAATTTTAGATACTACTAATGCATCTGGACCAAACTGCAGTATCAAGAAATATTCTGCCATTTCAGTAATCCAAAATTCCTCTTGCAATAAATAATTCAAATGGTTTAAAATACTGATTGTGAATAAGGTAATCTAAAATATGAGTATGTCCATGATTTTTTTTTTTAAAAAGAGTTTTACCTGATATTTTGTACCTGGAATTATGCTAGGAGGATCTAAATGAATTCATGAAATACCTTGACATTTTTTTTTAAAGCCATGAAATTGAAATGTATATTGTGGTTGAACAAAAATAACTGAATAATTCCTCTCTTACCCTTATATAAGCAATATCCATTCAAGGAGAATTCAAAACTTTTAGATATGTTCCTTGATAATTGCATTTACTCAAGAGTTCCTTGCTTTGTACTGGCTTAAACCCAGGAAAGCGTTAATGAGATTGGGAAGCCTGATGGGCAAGGCTCCAGAAATGAAGAATCCTAAAGCTAGAATTGTTTATTGCTATTATTTATACTATTTTACATAAATTCTTTTTCTCTAAACATGATTTTGTTTTATATCTGAACAAACTATGCCAGTTTACAAATAAACAATTAAGTCTGCAGAATTCTCTTTATAACCTGTCAAGATACATTGCAAATAACATTTATTTAAAAGAAGTTACAATTCCCTCAAGTATTACAATCTTTTATAAACATACAGGAAAACAGCTTAAGCAAAATGGGACTCAATCATCAATTCCTTTAGCTGGCAATGCTGTAGTAATGACACCACTGCAATGCAGCACAGTGACACTGCTCTCTGGGAGGCACACCCAAACGGGGAAACAGAAAGAAAAAGTAATGCATTTGAACAATACATCTCTAGAGGAAAAAATATTTAAGTGAACTTTCAGCATTTTCCATAATATCAAGGGGTTGACACAATAAATAAACTGATAAACAGTATTAAACTACTTTCAGCAAGGTTTGCCAGACTTTTGTATTTTATACCCAAAAGAAAGAAAACAGTTACTGGAAGATCTAAGATCAGGGGCATAGCCCTTCCAGGGAGTAAAGATACTGCACTAAAGGCTCCACAAGCATATTATCAATTCTCCTTAAATTTTATGCACAACCTTTTATAAGAAATCTCAACATATTTTCTAAAAAAACCACTGTTCTTTAAAGTTCTCTTGGCATTATTTCTGCTTTATAGATTCATTCTAAATCAAGCTTTTATTCTTGATGAAATACATTTATTAAAGCAAAAAGTGAAAATTAAATTTTTGTATCATTCAGATATGAAATATTAATTTTCCAAAAATCCCATTCTGATTATTGCAACCTGCTTTACCTAGGGCTACTCCTGAAAAATGTCAGAAAATTGCAATTATTGCAAAATGCAGAAACTGGACTATTACAAGGACTACATGAATCTCTACTGTACTGAAATATCTGCACTGCATCCCAATTGCTTACTGGTCATAATTTAATCATTTTTATTATTTGTCATTAATCTTTAATGCCCTAAATAGTTTAAGCCTGATTATCTGAGAAACTATCTCCTATTATGAACCTTTTTGGACATTAAAATGCTTTGATCAGAAGTGCATCTGTCTGGGTTGCTGGGGGGGCCTTTTCCTGTATTGTTCCCAGACTATGAAAAGCATTGCTATGGGTGTCGTGATTAGCCTCAACTCTTTCAGCATTTAAAAATCTGTAACAATGCATACATTTCCCCGGGCCTTTAACAGTTAATTAATTTTAGCATTTAGCATTCACTTTCAGTTCCTAATTGGTATAATACCTTTTAAACATTTGTTAGCCACCATGACTACTCATTTGAAAATATCAAAACTGAATGAATGTAATTTAAATCAATCAAAGCATTGCCAGGACTCACAGCTCAAACTTTATAAAATTATACATTTCCAAACAAATGATTTGAGGCATATCATTTAGATTTGCTTGATAACTTAAGAATCATATATCATGCAACTCTCTTAATATGTTCTGCAGCATTTTCAAAAGATCCATTAAATTATAAAAAACATACTCATTTTTTGTATTGCTATATGGCATTGCTTTACGGCAGTGGTGTAATGAATCAGAATTATCAACTAAAATGCACTATTTTGAGTATCATGATATTTAATATTAGTTGGCCTCATTTAAGTGACATTAGCAATTACTGCACAACACACATCAGAAAATGGCTCTTCCAGAAAGGTCTGGAAGCTAAAAGTTATTTACAGTTCATTAAAGGGTCATTTGAAATACACGAGGGTAATTTAGTGAGGCAAATAATCAAGTTGTATTATTTATCTTTAAAATTTGGGCACAAGATAACTTTCAATATTTCCAACAAAACCTGTAAATCTATTTACAAAGTCAGTGATAACTTTACCAAAATTATTTGTAAAAGGCTCTAAAAGAATCAACCACTGCAATTTGGAAAGCACCCAAATGTACCTTTCAAAAATAGACTTAGACACAAAATAAATCCTACCGCTAGTTTTAGAAAATGGGAAAAATGTTGTGAAGAATTAACAGTGCTTGGAATTGAATACTTTTTGCACAATTGTTCAATCACAAAGAACATTTAGAAGAAAGCATGTGCCTACAGTACTGGAATAATCATTATATAATCTTTTAATATAGGAAAAGCATGTGTTTCTAAACTACTTTCTGAAATTTCAACTATTAGTAACTGTCAATATTTAACTGTTACAAAAGATCACTTCTGATTCTACAAAGGAATTCTCTCCTGTTCCCTATCTTCTGAATGACTTCTAAATCTGCCTAAAGAAATTGTAGAAATTTTGATGGTCTCCCTCAAGTTATGAAATATAATCACTTAATTGTATTTGGCCATTAATATTTTCATTTTTAGAAAGGTTAAAATTCACCACTTCAACCAAGCCTTTCGAACTGTTCTGTGATAGTGTGTGATTTTAGATCCATATTTTTTGTTTTTAACCTTACTTTTGTAAAATCAGTAATTGTTTAGACAAAGAAACTGAATTTCACTGACAGAAACCTTTGTTTTCATACTATATGTAACATAGTATGAAATGAGAAAAAAAAATTCTCAAGATGAAACATCAATAAGGTCCACACAGCATTATTGTAGCTGCATCTCAAATCTGCTAAGGTAAATCTCATCTGTATGCCATGCAAATATGCATTTACCTTAGCAGATTTGAGATGCAGCTACAATAATGCTGTGTGGACCTTATTGATGTTTCATCTTGAGAATTTTTTTCCGATTTATTAGGAAATGCAAAGCATTATTGAGTAAGCAGCATGTTTTCCCAAATATATCTAAATCTTGTAGTTAAAGAATTCACAATGAAAATGCACACAAACAATATGTAATAGAAGTTATTGCACAAAATACAGATATTTCAGCTCAACAATTAAAGGAGTGTTTAAGGTGGAAAGGGTCAACTATTGATTCTAACATATTACTGACAAAGCAAATCAGATTGCTGTTTGTTTTCCTGGCCATCTGATGTCCCTACTCTCACTCTGAGGGCAGACTGCAGTATAGTCTTGGGCATTTTTTTCTTAAAGTTCATTCCAAAATGTATATTACTGCCCCACTTTAAATTGTCTCTTGTATTTTAATTACTCACTTACTGATCAAACACTTGCATTACATGAAGAAGGAAGGCAGAATCCTTGACACTTGTAAAAATGCTCAGGTAGTAAGTAACATAAAGACATCTCTTTGAGGCTTTGGAGAATCACAAGAGCCTCTTTGAGTTGTTTATGCCCCAAATTTACAGGGAATAGAATTTACCTCAACACATGTATGAAGCTTTACAAAGAGTTACATAAGACATGGATTGTGAGCAAATGGCAAAAGGTCAATACCATTCAGAGCAGATAAAACCACACGGGGGGGACAAATAATCTGGCGCGATACATCAGCTTCCTACGAACTGGTGCTCCAAAGGTGAAGCTTGATTTACAGTATCGATAAAACAAACATGGCCGGTTCGCCGAGCCCAGCTGTCTTCATGTCAGCTGGGCTCCATCACAAATATTCAGCTGCCGCCGGCATCGCCAGATTAAGTGGTGCAAAGCCACACGCGAAGGGCACACACCATCGCCGGTCTTCCAAGGCGGGGAGGGGGAGAGAGAGACCACGGGCCTCTCCTAGGACTACCGGATCCGGGCTGCAAAAATCCGGAGGACCACCATTACAGGAGAGCAAAGCGATACAGAGCCCTCTGAAGGGAGGGCCTGCTGACATCGAGTCCTCTGGGTGCCGGCAGCCCCGGCCGACAACGCAGACAAAGGAGCAGCGAGCCGTGCCGCCATTTTGGCCGCCGCCGCCTGCGGCCACACCCTCTCCATCCTTCTCCCGCGCAGCCCCTCCTGGGCCTGTTTCCAGCTGCGGCTTAAGTGCGGGGCCAGGCCTGCCGACCCATCCCGTCGCTCCTTTCTCCGCAGCCCATCTGAACGCACCCCGGGGCGCAAGCGCGGCTGACTCACCCTTGAGCGTGGAGCGCTCCACCAGGACTGCGTGGACTTGCGGGTCCGAGAGGAACTTCCGCATCTGCTCCACGGCGCCCTTCTCCTCCAGCGCCGCTTCGAGGGCGGCCGGGGCCTCCCCGCCGTCTTCCAGCAGAAGTGGCACCAGCTTACGCAGGTGCTTCTGCAGCACCGACACGTCCGCCACATTCTGCACCGCCGAGCCGGTCGCCTCCAGGCCGCCGCCGTCCTCCCCGCCGCCGCCGCCGCCCGAATCAGACATGGCTGGTAGGCTTCTCCGCCGTCGAGGTGGATGGAGCGCGAGCCGTTAGAGCCGCTCCCGAGCCGCTCCGCCGCGGAGTTCTGGTACTTCGCACTGAGCCCCGCCTCGCCCGCGACGCTGCGCTTTAACTACGCCTCCCCGCGACAACCCCGCCCCGGAGGATCCTGGGAAGCGTAGTCGGAATTTGTACGGCTCGGAAGATGCCCTTTCGCTGCGGCGAAATCCGAATGCGTCCTTGACAAGCGAGCTGTCCAAAGCTATGTGAATCGCACTTCAGCTTCTAAAACCCCAAGCAATCCCCGAAGTATTTATTTCTTTTTGTTTGGTTCCGATGCCATACTAAGACCATGCTAACGGAAAGTCCGCAAAATACTAGTATGCTAGCTTTTCAGTCGGCATTTAGTTACAAGAGTGTGGGAGTCCGTGCAGTTTCAAATTATGCTTCGGCAGACGCAGCGACTGCTTCATGCTATATTCTGGGCCTTCCTCTGGGTCGAAGAAGAAAACCAAACTGATGTCCTGTTTTTTGAAAATACAAACTAAGCTATCGTTAAGACCTGGCTCATCATTAGGGGAGCGAACCATTTCCTCCACTCCTGCTGTGATGTTCTGAACAAAAGCCACTTTGCAGTTGTGGAGAGTTCAACTTGGCTTCTGTGAGACCTAGATTAACACAGCTTCAGTTATGAAACATACTGATCTTAGACCAGTCACCGTCTGTCAGCCTATTCTGTCTTTCAGAACATAAAGTGTAGTGGGTGGGGGTGAGAACCATGTATGGAAAGATAAACATATACTGATTAATTAAGGCTATATTGTACTTCCATTTGTTCCTACCAGATCTGGGCTGCAAAACCGCAGACCACCGGAAAATCATTTTCTTTGCTGACATGTATCAGTCATCTGGATGTCTGCAGCTAGATCAGGCAGTCCTAATATACCAGACAGTCAATATCATTAACCAAATTCAGACCTCTCATTAAGTTAATTATAAACTTGTTCATGGGCTTATACTGAAAACCTTAAAACAAGTATTAACACTTAATGGATTCGAAAAAAGCAATTGCATCACTGAGGTTGGAACAGATCTGTGATCCAAGTACAGAACTAATCTTTATGCAGTATTTCTTGGGAGACCTTGATAAACCTGAATATGAAGAAAATTCCTCAAAACTACCGGCACCAGAATTCATAGCAACTGCTCAGTGTCGGTAGTGAAGGTTACAAGCTAGGAACAACTTTGGAACTGTCCTTGGTGTACGTGGAGAGAATCTTTTATTTTCTTGCTGTCTGAGCCTCTCCCTGAATTGCAGTAGAATGACTGGAAGAGTGCCAGACATTCTGGCAACTATCAGATAGTCACTGATAGAAAACTTCATTGAATAGGTTGAGACTAATTCTGAATTAACTTGTACAGTAGCACAACTATTTGTGAAATTTAATTCATACCTGGGAACATCACTTGGGAACTTTCAGTGGATTTTTATATTGTGCTAAATATAAAGTTATTATTTTTTAAATAAACCAAAGTTGGCTGGATCAACTCAGTACTGTAAGTCATAAACCCTGGTTTACAAATCACAAAGTCTAGGTTTCCTCATTGTGCTAAGCTATGATTTCCTTGTTGCTTTGGATGATGTGTGAATCCGGACAATTATGGCTTATTCAGCAAACCATGAAAAATAGCTTATCATAAAGTGAGAACATAGCTATTGAGTTATATATTTTTGAATAAAATTGGATTATAAAAGCTGCATAGAAATTTGGGAAACTTCTTACAAGTAAATGATAGGATAGGGAATTCTTTCTAAATTCCAGAAGCTAACTACACAGGATGTCCAAATTATACTTAGTCCCAATAGGAGAAAGTTTTGAGCATGTTTACATGATATACTAAGCCACCCAGACTTTGTTGACTATTGACAATTTGATCAATATTCCTTCGCAGTGGAAACACTTTTTTTAAAAATAGATTCTAATTTTTAAAATGGATTTTATTTTTTTTAAATCAAAATGAAAACAATTATCATAACCAAAATAATGTGTTAGTCAAATTGGGGTCAGAAAATGAGGGAAGATTGAATTTCCCCCCATCCCTTTGCATCCAACAGAGCATAAAAAATGATTTGGCCACAGTGTTCCCATTTTATGGCTATTCCATCTTCCTGTCCATCTGGACCTTTCCCTACTTGCACCTGACCACAATTGGAAGTCATGCTGGCAGGTTTTTCTTTCTGCCATTCCCCCATGATGACATCTCATTCACAGCCAGAGAGTGAGACTAAAGCGACGTATGTCATCTTTAGTTGCAGCAGTGTTAACATTTATTTTCCCCCTTTTTCTAACACCATCCAAGGATAGCCTCAAGATGTATAGTCTGTTCGGCTTTGTCACTAGAGGGAAATCAGGTGACTGCAGTGACCGAAAACAAAGGCAGAGCAGGGATCAGCAATAGGGACATTTCATGTTGGATGTATGGTAATCCCCGGGTTAAGAATGCCTGGTTTAAGGATGACCCATATTAAAAACAGAACCTATTATGGCAAAATTTGAGTTAAATACACAATGGTTTGAGTTAATTACAGAATACTACTTATACAGTATTATACAATAATACTGTTCTGGCTTACATACAAATTTGACTTAAGGACAGACCTTGGGAACAGAACTCGTTCTTAAACTGGGGACTACCTGTATATACTATCTTCTTGAGGATGGGCAAATAGCACCAACTCAGCAGTATGGAAAAATCCTTTGTTCTGGATGTGGAAGGGAAAGTTCTTGGTATTAGTTTTTCAGTTGGATTTCCATGTATGTGCTGTAGAAATCTGGATGACCACTCAATGATAGCAAAAAGATTCAGAAAACTCATCGCTACATTCTAGGGCCATGCACATTTTTGCAGCACATATAAGGGTAATGCTATGTTTGAGAAAATTATTAAATCACAGCTGGTTGTCTCTCAATTCTGTGTATCTTATTTCTTGGACAGTCTAAGGTATATATGAAGCTATGATGATGTTATAAATCATGTTGTTGGTTCTTAGACTAAATTTGGTACAATTTATCTTCTTTTTAATCAGTTTTATCTACTTGATGCATTTTATGTGCCTTGTTTTCATATAAATTACCATGACCACCATTTGGAGGAAGAGCTATTGAAAGTGCATGGGTTTGGCTTGAAAGAGCTATGAAAAAACGCCATGTGTCTCAATATATTGAGCTTCTGGACTCTCATAATAGCAAAGCAGGCAAGTCTCACAGAGAATAGCCTAACCATCCAATTGCAACTTGGAAACACGAAAGGATCTTGTACCAGTAAAATTTGGACATCATAGTACTAGTAAATGGTGCCTCCTATCCCAGAATATTGACACACTATTCTAAGTTGTATGCAGCTTGTTTAGTTTTGGCTTAGTAGTGTGGAAACCCAGTCGGTAGCTCTCAAAGGTAAGTTAGTGACTTCAGAGCTTGAAGACAAAATTCTCCAAGAAAAAAGACTTGCAACCTATGCTATTTTCTTACAAGCCATAATCAAGCTGAAGACAAACTAAGGACATTGGGCCCTTGAGCAAATACTGTAATCTTTAACTTGCTATTGATATGTATGTAGAAACCTGTATGTTTCTACCATAATGATAGACATTTCTATAAGCTGCTTGATGGAGAGCCTGTATAGTCAAACATACCAGGAAGAAAAACAAAATCCAGACTTCCTGGCATGTAATTTCAATAGCACTCTTCTTCTGGAAACATTTGAAATTAGAACCAACAAGCACCCATATATGGTTGCAGTTCCATCATCACTGAATAAACACAATAGTCATTTGCACATCATGGATAAGAGGGAAGGCCTTCCACCCTTTGAATGTGTCGGCATCTATTTTCCTAGAAATTAAGCAGTGTGTGAAACCAAACATCCACAGCAACAGTTAGGCTACCAAATCCCTGAAGGGAGTAGGCAGAAAGGTAACATTTTAGCCCTTATAGAAATGGGAGGAATTTCAAGGCATTTTCATTTGTAGGGTGGTGTCTTTTTTAACCTCAGCACTAATAGCCAGGGACTAGTTCTTAAGTAATTTAAAACAAGAGGATCTTGTTCCAGAATCTTCATTTTTTCCATAATCCAGGAGCGGGTAAACCCCAGACCTGTAGAATCTATTCAAATAAACAACTAGTATCTTAAAATCCATCAACCTGAATTTGGTGCAAAAGTTGTGAGGAAAGAATGATTGATCCAGGAAATATGTTTTGTGCCAGTTCTTTCACACCAAAATGCACTCTTGGCTTTTCCTCAAGTTTCCTTAATGTTAGCAATCTGATTTATACTATGAGTTATTCTGTTGCTGCCATTGGTAAACAATCAGAAGTAAAGAACCTTCACTATTTTACCAATATGAATACATAAACTGTTTTAAGTTATTTAAATATTTAAAATAGATGAGTAGATATAACCAAACAGATGACAGGAAAGGAAAGTGCCTGGCTCAAAGATTATGATTATTTAATTCAAGAAGCATGGGTGAAGAAAATTGGGGATATTTTCCTTGAATTAGATAAAAATAAAAATTGCTACAATCTTCTTTTTGTGAAATAATGTTGTTCGGCTAAGTGATCATGACAGCCTATGCTTTTAATACATATACAGTCTTATTTATCCTCAGTAAAAAAACATAAGGCATTATTTATTTAATGTTCTACTTTTTCAACAGAAATAGCACTCAGGGATCATACATACAGAAATTAATGAGCTATTTATTATTATATAGAGAGGGAGGGTAGGAATGGTATCACCCTGCATATTCAAAAAAGAACACATAAATACATGCAAGTAATATTCCAAAGAAAAGAGTTTTAATGATGAGTATCTGACTCAAGATACATTTATAATTGGTAGTGATCATGAACTGGGAAATCCCTAATACATAACTGCCCAATTTCTTTAAAACTTCAGAAGTGGATACTGAATAGATGCAAAGTCTGGAATAAGATACCGTATTTTTCCGTCAATAAGACGCCCCCATGTACAAGACGA